AGCCATCATTGTTGTTTGGCGGGCCCGGGCTGGGGATTCGAACCCGCCACCTTAGGTGTATGTGGCTGGCGCCTTAGCCGCCTGAGCCACAGGCAGCGAGCCTAGATCATTTTTATTTTATTTTATTTGAGACAGTGTCTCACTTTGCCGCCCTCAGTAGAGTGCTGTGGTGTCACAGCTCACAGCAACCTCCAGCTCTTGGGCTTAGGCGATTCTCTTGCCTCAACCTCCCGAGTAGCTGGGATTACAGGTGCCTGCCACAATGCCCGGCCAGGATCGAACCCACCACCCTCGATATATGGGGCAGGCGCCCTACTCACTGAGCCACAGGTGCCACCCTAGGTTGCGTAGTTCAAACCCTACCCCAGCCTTTGAGGTGGTCGCCCCGCTGAACTTCAGTTTCCTTATCCACAAAGTGAGATAATAACAGGCCTACCCCCACTGTACTGTTGTGGGAACTAAGTGAGATAATGCTTATTTGAGTGCTTACCTCACATCGCAGTGCTTGACGCATAGCAATATTCACTAAATAATAATCTGTTGCTTGGTTCCCAATTCATTCCCCGTCATTGGGCAGTCTGTCACTTAAGGTATTCGAATCCTCAGTCTGGCTTAGAGGATTTGGAGGTGACCTTCCTCTGGGAAGCAGACACATAAGCAAAGAAATCATTGAACATAATGGACTCTATTTAGTGATCCCCTCTAAAAAAAAAAATGTCTTTAGTCTTAAACAGACCCTGGGTACGTTGGAGGGAGTGATAATTATTCTTCACAGAGAGCTGGTTATAGTCAGCTTTTTCCTGCATTGGGAGAACATGGTGTGCCTTTGTAATGTTGGTTTGGTATTCCTTTTCACGCCAAGGTTTTCTGCCATTAGACTCATTGCTTGGATATTTTGAAGTAGTAGTGGAGAATGGGTAATTCTCTTTGTTTGCTAATGGATTTTTTTAAATGTGATAAAATTTCACATTGTATGGGTGGCGCCTGTGGCTCAGAGGAGTAGAGCGCCAACCCCATATCCTGGAGGTGGTGGGTTCAAACCCAGCCCTGGCCAAAAAGAAAAAAATTTTTCACATTGCATAAAATTAGCTGTTTTAAAATGAACAATTCAGTGATAATCAGTACATTCATAATATTGTGCAAGCACTGCTTCTATCTAGGTCCAAAACATTTTCAGGAATTCAAAAAAGAATCCTAGTACCCATTAAGCAGTTATTCCCCATTTCCCACTTACCTTACCATTTGATAACCACAAAATCTGCTTTCTGCCTCTATAGAGTTACCCAGTATGGGTATTTTATATGAATGGATGCATGCCATATGGTAGCCATTTATACCTAACTTCTTTTTTTTTATTATTGAGATAGAGTCTCACTTTGCAAGCCCTCAGTAGAGTGCTGTAGCGTCATAGCTCACAGCAAACTCAAACTCTTGGGCTCAAGTGATTCTCTTGCCTCAGCCTCCCTAGTAGCTGGGACCACAGGGACCTGCCACAATGCGCAGCTATGTTTTGTTTTGTTTTAGCTGGCCCAGTGCATGTGGGCACTGAGATGGGCGCCCAGCCCCTAACTTCTTTCACTTAGCATGTTTCCAAGGTTCTGTCATGTATCACACATCAGTATTAATTCCTCTTTATAGCTGAGTAGTGCCCCATTGTATCCATGTACCATTTTTTTTTAAGAGACAGAGTCTCACTTTGTCACCCTCAGTAGAGTGCTGTGGTGTCACAGCTCACAGCAATGGGCTCTCCAGCTCTTGGGCTTAGCAATTCTCTTGCCTCAGCCTCTGGAGTAGCTAGGACCAGAGGCACCTGCCACAACGCCTGGCTATTTTGTTGTTGTTGTTGCAGTTTGGTCAGGACGGGTTTGAACCTGCCACCCTCGGTATATGGGGCTGGTGCCCTACTCACTGAGCCACAGGTGCCGCCCATATACCACTATTTCTTTATCTATTCATTGCTGATTGGTATTTGGGTTTCCAGCTTATGACTATTGTCAACAGTGCTGCTCTGAACATGTGTGTATGTGTATTTATTTGAGTACCTGCTTGCTTTTTTTTTTTTTTAGTATATACCTATAAGTAGAATTGTTGAATCATTTGGCAATTCTGTTTAACTTTTTAAGGAACTACCAAAATGTTTTCCCCAGGGCGGTGTCTGTGGCTCAAAAGGGTAGGGTGCTGGTCCCATATGCCTAGAGGTCATGGGTTCAAACCCAGCCCTGGCCAAAAACTGCAACAACAACAACAAAAAAAGTGTTTTCTCCAGTTATTTTCCATTTCCTCCAATCCATGAGGATTCCTGTTTCTTCACGTACTCACCAATACTTCTGACTTTCTGTTTTATTTTATTATCCTAATAGGTGTCCAATGGTATCTCTCTGTGGTTTTGATATGCATTACCCTGCTTACTGATGATGTTGACTAACTTTACATGTGCTTCTTAGCCATTTGTATTTCATATTTGCAGAAATATCTGTTCAAGTCTTTTTTCCATTTAAAAATTGGTTTATCTTTTTATTGTTGGGTTGTAAGATTCCTTTATATCATATGGAAAGGGGACTGGGGGAAGAAAATTAAAAACCTCTCCCAGTCTTTGCATATCCATGCTGGGGTACTCCATTGTTTAGAATGTTTACAGCTCTGGCTCAACAACCATAGCACAGTGGTTATGGTGCCGGCCACATGCAGGGAGGCTGGCGGGTTCATACCTGGTCCAGGCCAGCTAAACAACAACGACAACTGCAACAAAAAATAGTTGGGCGATGTGGCAGGCGCCTATAGTTCCAGCTACTTGGGAGGCTGAGGCAAGAGAATTGCTTAAGCCCAATAGTTTGAGATTGCTGTGAGCTGTGATGCCATGGCACGCTACCAAGGGTGACATTATGAGACTCTGTCTCAAAAAAAAAAAAAAAAAAAAAGATAAAAGAATGTTTACAGCTCTGCCTTAGCCTTCATTTCCTGCTTCTGCTGAACCTAGGTATCAGCCAGAGGTAAAAACTTAGGGATTCCTCAGATCTTTTCTGAGCCTGTGTCCTACCCTGGGCATGCATGTCACTTTATAAATTCTTCAGTATATGTGAATAACCTTATGACCCAAAGAAACTTTCAATCCAGCTTTTCCACTCAAGCTCTGACATGTCTCATTTATTTTCCTCCATTGTACCTTTTTTTTTTTTTTTTTTTTTTTTGAGACAGAGCCTCAAGCTGTCCCCCTGGGTAGAGTGCCGTGGCATTACAGCTCACAGCAACCTCCAACTCCTGGGCTCAAGCGAGTCTCCTGCCTCCGCCTCCCAAGTAGCTGGGACCACAGGCGCCCGCCACAACGCCTGGCTATTTTTTGGTTGCAGCCGTCATTGTTGTTTGGCGGGTCCGGGCTGGGGATTCGAACCCGCCACCTTAGGTGTACGTGGCTGACGCCTTAGCCGGTTGAGCTATAGGCGCCGAGCCCATTGTACCTTTTGACCCAGGCAAATGTAGGTTCTTGCCTTACAGTGTTTTTGTTTTTGTTTTTGTTTTTTGTAGAGACAGAGGCTCACTTTATTGCCTTCAGTAGAGTGCTGTGGTATCTCACAGCTCACAGCAACTTCAGACTCCTGGGTTTAGGCGATTCTTTTGCTTCAGCCTGGTGAGTAGCTGGGACTACAGGTGCCCGCCACAACACCCAGCTATTTTTGTGTTGTTGTTGCAGTTTGTCCCAGGCTGGGTTTGAACCTACTACCCTTAGTATATGGGGCCAGCACCTA